GGGGGCATTTGGCTAGATTAAGCTTAGAGGACTTACGGGTTTTTAGGATTAAAATTGACGTTGAAGATCCATTTGTCAAAGGTAAGAATTTTTATCATTTGATTTTTAAATTGTGACATTAATATGCGTTTATGGATTATTTTAGAGTTTTTTTCATATTGGGTTTATTATTTGAATTAGAATTGACTTAAGTTAGGGTTAACGAGTTAAATTGAATTAAGGAATTTGATGATTTAAAAATTAATTATATTAATTGAATCTTGAAATGAGTTAATGGTGATTTAAGAGATTTCAATTAATTAGATTATAAGGTTAATGATTTATGAAGTTAATTTAGATTTGAATTCACTTGGTTATATTATATGGATTATTTTAGGATTTAATAGATTAAATTGAGGGTTTTGTATATATAGGATGTTGTAGAGTTTAGATTGGGCTAAATTTTTAGTATGTGGTAATGAAAATATTCTTGTGATGATAAAAACATTTTTTGAAAAGGTTGAAGATTATAAATAGTAAAATTCAAATTTTGGAATTTATTAGTTAATTGTTGTGTAAAGAGTTTAATTATGAGTTTATTGATTAGAGTAGAAGATTTATTCTGAATTGTTTTAATGATAGAAATTAAATTATTTTGAAGGTTAAGGAAAAATAATAGATTGTAGAGATTAGTTGTTTAAAAATTGAATTGGAAATTGATGACGGATTATAGAGATAAGACATGTGAAAAATTGAATTGAAAATTGATGATGGATAATTGGTCTTATTAAAGTATAAATTGGAGTGTTAGAGAAATATTGTAGAATGAACTTGGGATATAGTTGTTGGATAATTGTCTAGAATAGGTTGAGAGAGTAAGAGTTTAGTTAAAAATCCTTAATTTGTGTCTTTTCGATAAATTATGTTCTTGTAAATTGTCTTGTATTTCGATTTTTAGAGTAATTAATTTGCTTTTAAACTATTCTTTGATATGTAATATTAGTGATTATTCGATCATTTTGTATCATTAGATTCTTCGGAATGGGAGATCCATCTCGACAACATTGACTTTGCATAATCTTTCGATTTACACTATGAGTGGATAATATATAGTATATTATATTTTTAAGTTCCTTTAATATATTCGTCATGCATCATTGATTTAATTATGACATAATCATGTTCATTAAAACTTAGATGGGAATGAAGTTGTATTTGAATGATTTTGATATTAAAAATGATTTGACATGATTATGAGAAATATTGATTATGTATTTTATTATGCTTATGCAGTTTGAATAAGTGTTTTTCTTAAGTTTTGATTCAATTCTATGAATTTAATTACTTTAATTTAGATTCTTGATTATAATTTTATTCGTATAATTTAAGTAAATATTTTATTTGTAATTTTGAATATGAGTTTGTATTTAAGCTTATACTTTGAGTATGATATTTGATATTGAATTGCATTACCCATGATTTTGAGCGTAAATTATGTTTTGATATGTTGGATTTGTATTTTGGAATAAATGTAAGTTTACTCTATTTTCTATTTATTTGACTACCTTGGGGTATCTAGCTATGGGAGACGTAGTTTGTGACCTCACTAATACATAATGCCCTAGCTAGCGGGAAAGGTATAGTGTTAGCCTATGTGTCGACCAAATACAAAAACCTAGCTACGAAAGGGATAGCCTTTGAGTGTTCACATTAAATAATACGTTATGTTTATTTCACCTCGAGTGTAAATTTGAATACTTGTTTTAATTTGATTATTTTATGTATAGATTTTGATATAATTTGAATCTATTATAAGTAATTCAATGTGTAATTTGGATTATAAGTGTTTCGATATGAGATCTTGATTTGAATTTGAATTATTTGAAAATATGATATACGATTTGATATTTGAAGTATGCATTTGACTTTAAAAAATAAGTATCACATCTTGAGTCGATTTTAAATTATTGTTCGTTGATCCGTTTATCTTCTTTAGATATGTTATATAATGTCTACTCACGCAGTGTTAATTTGATCACATTCCATTATTTCAATTTTGCGAGTTTGTGAGATCGTTTTTTTACTTCCATGTAGCTGCTTATTTTGAAGCCAAAACATCGATCATGCAACTTCTTTACTTGTAATATTTTAAACTTGTATTTTGATATTATTGTATCCTTTATAAGCTTTGCAATTATATTTGTAAGAGTTGTGTTAGGTTGATAATTATTATGTTTGATATATTTAAATAACTCGGATGTGGTATTATGGATTTAGACATCATATTGATTAATTAGGTTATGATATTATGAATTGGATGAGAATTATGTTATAATATTGACTAAGGATTTTATTTTGAGACATGCAAGAATACTATGAAATTACCGCTTGTGTTGTAGTAATAAAGTATTGACTATTAGGCGATGATATTATAAATTGAAAATGATATTTGATGTATTATAAATTTGAGAATTATGGTATATATATATATACGACTTGCTTGAGGTGAGATGGATCCCACGACTCCTTGAATTCTCAAGCCGATTATGGCCCACTTCGGGGGACATAACACTAGTAAAAAAAAAACTAAAAGATTTAAGATGAGTTATTATTCACAATACTATTCACTCTTACTCGTATATATCATTTATTCAAACTCATATGCACTATTCATTTTCATTATGGAGTGACATTTTTGTTATTTTTAGCTTTTTTCGAACATTCATATACAAATTTGACGTTCGGTTTCATGTTAGTCCTTAATATTTTTAAAAATATTTCTAGTCCCTCAATGACAAAGTACTCATGGTTGCCTTTTCTTTTTTCTTTTGTTGTTTTTCAACTATTTATTTTAGTTTTATTATTATATGGGTGTAAAAGTTATGAAAAATCATCAATTTCTTTTTTTAATTTTCCATACGAGTCGAAGATTATGAAAATATATAGATATATTTTTAGAATTGACATATATATATATATATATATATATATATATCGGATTATATTATTCTTATTATTTAAAATTGATCTCTTCAATTTGCTACTTCATATGAAAATTCTCATCAAATTATTTTTTATTATTTTTTATGTAATTTTATTTTTTAATAAATATAATTTATTTTTCTCTATGTAAAAATTTTTGAATAATTTTTTAAATAAATAAATAATCAACTAAAAAATAAAATTCATGTGTTTTATTTTCTTATTCTTTGTATCATCAAAATTTATTGGAATCAATTTTATAGTTGTTTTTATTGCAGTTTATTAACTTCAATATATTCCTTATAATTTTTTTAAAATATTTTTTTATTTATGCTTGTATACTCGATTCACTAAGTATAGTCACGATATATATATATATATATATATAGAGGATCATTGATTTTATAAGAAATTAATTATGCATTTGCACAAACAACACCAACTATTTGCTATTATTTTTCTTAATATTCTAAAATTAATTTCTTTCTAATAAAATATTTAAAATAATATTTTAGAAGAGCCACTAAACAATTTAAAAATAATTTTTATACTAATATTATTGATTATTTTTCAATAAATATATACGAATCAAATGTATATAATTTCAAAAAGTTAATTGTCTCATTAGCATAATTTTTATACAATTTTTTATATTAATTATTATTTTATTTCTTTAATGCAATCTTATAAAAAAAATTAAGATTTTTTTAAAAACAATTTAGATTATGAGGTTTTATTTAAAAAAGAATGCATAAACAAGAAATATGCATGAAAACATAAAAAATTAAATACAAAATTTTGATTAAATTTATGAAATTAATTTTAGAATATTAAAAAAAACAATACTAAACGAGTTTGTGTTATATATGTGGACTCATAGTTAATTTTCAATAAAACCAATGATCTCAGTTTTTTTTTTTTTTTAATGATGACCATAATCAATGGATCAGAATATGCAACATAAATAAAAGAATATTTTTTAAAAAATCTTAAACTATAATTTATTGAAGTTAGTTGATTGTAATAAAAATTATTATAAACTTTATTTTGATATATTTTTATTGTATAAAAAAATAAGCAAATAAAACACGTAAATTATAATTTTTAACCGATTATTTTTTTAAAAAAAACTAATTCAAAAATATGTATATAGAGAAAATAAATCATACTTATTAACAAATAAAATTACATAAAAAAGTAGAATAAAAAAATTATTTATGAGAATTTTTATAAGAAACGACAGATTAAAGAAATTAATTTTAAACAATAAGTGTTGTATTTTTTTAATTACAAAATTTATGACAAACGTAAAGAAAAATAAATTAAATATAAAATTTTGATTAAAAATTATAAAATTAGATGAAATTTTTTTATCTTTAATTTTATATATTTTATTTGATTAATAATCTACTAAAATAAACATGTTTTGTTTGATCCGTAGTGTAACGCGGAAAACCGACTAATAAAGATATCTAAAAAAAAAAAACTTTAATCAAATCCTTAAAGAAGTTTTTTCAAGAAAATATCTTTTAGGACTTTTAATATCTCTATTTTAATGCTACATAATGAAAAAAAAATTGTTGGATAAATAAAGTTATGTATCATTACTATCTTGCTATATTTTAAAATTATTTATTTATAATTTTCACAAACGAAGAAATCAGTGAGGTCACGAAAAAGACGATAACACGTGTGAAAATTGATTCGGTAATATTTTATAATTAAAAAAAAAAGACTCTGGGCCCAAATCAGAAGAATTTTATTGGTCTTGACTTCTACGCGAAACTCAAACAAAATTGGGTGGGCCCGTGTTTTTTATTTATCCTTGTGGATTTTGGCCCACATTTTATTTTTTTATTGTAATAATTTTGGTCCAATAAAACGAAAGGAAATTACTTCACCTAAAAACAATAGACTGAAAACACCGAAGGAGAAACAGAGGGTTGTAATTTTAGAGGTCTCTCAAAAAGTAGGATTTTTTAAGCTCAATTTTGCAGGAAAAGAAAAAGGAAGAAGAAGAAGAAGAAGAAGAAGCCAGAATGGCAGAGAACACAGTGCCTCAAGTTTCTTACAATTCATCATCTAGTTTATACAACAATTCAACTGACATTGAAACTGCAGCTCAAGATGCAGTCTTGCGTGAACAAGTAAGGGTTTTTCTACTTTCTTGCATTCTCTTCTTTATTTCCCATCTTATTTTAATCAAATTCTTATCTGTTTTTGCTTTGTTTTCTATGTTTTGATAGGATATGGAAACACAAAGAGTGATACAAGGCCAAAGGTTGATGCTTTATTGATTTTGTGGTATTTTTAAATCAAAATTATCTGGCATTGAATTGTAAATTGTGTGTTTCTGTGAGTGTTTTAGAGACGCAGGAAGTGAAGGTGGAGCACCTTCGAAGGATAATACTGATATTTTCGCAGAACGGAGAGACCCTAATGCTTTAAAGGTTTGAAATTTGAATTTTTTTGTGATTCAATAATTGTTTTAGTGTTTATTGCGAAGGATTTTTAATGGGCTGTGCATTTTTGTTGTTGTTATGGATGTTACTGTAGGAACATCTATTGAAGATGACTACTGAGCATCGCTCCGAAATGGCTTTGAAGCGGGGGAAGCCTGCTGGTGCTGAAGAAGGTTGATAATGTACTATAATCTCTCTTTTTTATACTATATGGTTGCATCTTTATTTTTTATGTTTTTCATTCTGCTTTTGAATTTAGATAACTTCTTAGCGTGTGTAGCTGTAAAGAATTTAGGCCTGGCATAGTATGAGACTAAATTTTCTGTCTGAAAGGAAGATGACAAGTGTTGATGGAGTGGAAGCTGGTTGTGTCATTAGTAAGAGTGTTTGATGGTTGAGACAGCAATGGAAAATAAAAGGACTGTAGACCTATTAGGGAAAGTATAAGATAATGAGGAAAAACTGGGATACTTGTGCAAACTTGTACATTAATAAGAGGTTGATGAAAATCTCAAGGTTTTTGTTGGCCACTGAATAAGCTCTTGCTGGTATGAGAAAATATTTTGACTTGAAAATAAACCATTTACCACCAATGTTCTAATTAATGGAAGTTAAACGTGGTTTTTGTTTGAGACAACCATTCAATTTCGAGTTGGTTGCAATTTCTTTGACTCACTTTGTTTGCAAAGTGCTGTGCTAGAAAAAGAGGCATCGGCAACTCAACCAATAGCTGAATTATTTATTAGAGTTGCTGTGGGCAGATGGCCTGAACCGTTTTGTTTCTGGCAGGTCATATAGAAATTGGGAATGGATATGGTGTACCAGGTGGAGGTGCATATTATGCTTCTTCAAGGCCTGTCCTCGATAGTGAGTCAGAACAGAAGTTGGCTACAAAGGAACTGCCAGAGTTCCTGAAGCAGAAGTTAAGAGCAAGGGGTATCCTGAAGGAAGACACAGGAAAAAGCCATCCATTGAGAACTGATAATGCAAGTTTATTTATTTATTTATTTATCGGTTGACTTTGAGCCTCTTGTTTCTTTCTTTTTTGCTTCTGCCTATTGCTTTTTTTCCCTACTTGTTTCTGGCAGCCTTTTGTAAAGACGCCTGGTTGTGAGGATTATACATATGATTTTGGTGACAATTTATGGTCTTTTTTACTTGGCTATTTTTGACATTTTGGAAAGTCTGAAATTTCTCTGAATGTAAACCTATCTTGCGCATCCTAATTATGATTTTTCTTGATGTCTTCTTTTCAAGCTATCATCTGCAGTCCTTTAACATGATGCCTCATAAATTTGAATTGCAGAAGTCGGGGACTGGTTCAACTCAACATGTTGAAATCGGGAAGTTGCCTCCTGGATGGGTGTGTCTTGATTGCTATATATATGTTTTCCTGATTTATTTGATCTGTCTAAGAATGAACTGCTTTACCAATCTTTGTACATGAGAATTGTGGATTGGAAATTTTGGTACATGCCAAATGTCTACCAATTCCTATCTGGCTGGCTTGTATTTGGGGAATTTTGGATTTAGTTTGTGGTACTTAATGTTCAGAGTAGAATCCTAGAGAGAGAATTTCAGTTAATATGCTTCAAGCACTTCTTCATCACATAGATATAATGCAGTGTATTAATATTGAACTTCATAAAGTGTAATGAATTTTAATTTTCTATGATTACCCAAGTTTTGCATGCCCTATGCTGCCTTATGCATTTTCTTGCCAGCACTTATTTTTTTCCAGCTGCTGAGTTCTGTCTATCTCTGTTTAGGTGGAAGCAAAGGATCCTGCTAGTGGTGCTTCATATTATTACAACAAAAAAACTGGAGAGACCCAATGGGAAAGGCCAATTGATACGCCTTCAGCTACACAGACTCCGTCTCCTTTACCTGTTTTAAAAGATTGGGTGGAGGCATTGGATGAATCTACAGGTATGCCATATGTAGTGAGCTATATTTCTTTATTAATGAAATGCAAGGAAAAAAAGAAAAGAGGGGCTGGGAGAGGGGACATACATAGTCACAGTTTCTAGTATTACCTTGCATATAACTAGAGTTCTGCTACTAGCCTTTTGGGAGCACTGATGGATTAAATCATATGTATATCTCTAGTGTTTCTAAGTTCTAATGTTTAAGTTTAGGATTGTTGTTAAGAGACTTCTCAGTTATCAGGCACAATAACATCTCCTGTAGGAAGTGTAAAAAGTCTGATTCTGTTGACATCTTGGCCTCACCCTAGATTGTTCTGTGTTCTAATATTATACAATCGAGCTATATCTCTTATAGGTAGATTTTGTTGTGCTTTATCATTTGTTTAATATTTTGTGCATGGTTAAACTTCTGGCAAGAGTGTGGAACTGCAATAAACTTACTATAAAAGTGTAGAACTTCACTGAAGAGTCAAGGACATCAGGAAAAGAAACGAGCATCCAAGTTATTTGCAGTTTTTTTTCTTTCCCTCTTTGCTTCAAGCCTTTTGTTTTCCATGTGCAGGTCATAAATATTACTACAATACAAAGACCCACGTATCACAATGGGAGCATCCGAATTCATCACAGCTAGCCTCACAATGCTCTCACATCACATATTCTGGAAATGCTTCTGGTTGGAATCAGGATAATAGATTATCTGAGCCAAAGAAATGTTTGGAATGTGGTGGGTGGGGAGTCGGTGTTGTGCAGGCATGGGGTTACTGCAATCATTGCACACGGTAAATTAATCAGCATGCTATAAACTGGGTTCTCTTCCTTTTCATTTCATATTACCAGAATGCCAAAAAAGAACTGCATAAGCATAAGCATGTGCAGTAGTTGAAACTCAATTTTATCAAGTCATGTATTCTGTTTTTTATTTTCTTTTCCTTCCCTTTCATATATCACATTGAACTTTTTATGGCTCAATCTTCTTATGACTCATCTTTTGCTGAAGTTGCAGTTGGTGTTGGAAGTTTTGAAAGTGTATTTGCATGGTTTATATGTTTTTTTGTATTAAGCAAGGCACATTGAAACTATTCATTATTTATTTACATATTTTTGAAATGCTATTGAATTGCAGAGTTCTCAAACTTCCACAATGCCAGTACATAATGTCCATTTTGAATAACCAGCAGCAGAACAACAATCTTGCAAATTCAAAGGATGATCTTGACAAAAATGCTCCAAAACAGAGGTGCTTGATCTTACTTAACTTACTTGGAGATCACATCTTGCTCCAATTACTTTGGTTTTGCTGTTGAATTAACTTCTGAATGACCATTTCCCTAAATACAATTTAAATTCTCCTGCAATCAACCAAGAATTCTCTAAAAAGATCCAGTTATGTTATAATTATAAAGAAGAGAATATTTTGTTCAAGGAATTAGATTGGGGGTATGTGACCCACAAAAAGGGATGTTGAACCAGGGGTTCTAAACTATGGGCCGTTGCTTGGTGCTATAGGACAATCTTGCACTAGCGATCACAGGAATGCAGGTTCAAGTCTTGAAAACAGTCAGTCCATGCAAAACTGTTGAAGACTAGGCTGTCTCCTAATCTTGCATCCGATGACCACATTTCTGTTCTGGCAATGACTCTGTGATGGTCTTCATAGGAGTGGAAGTCACTTGTGCTGCATCCGACTTCCATGTCCTTCCTATTCTAAAATAGTACTAAAGCACATGCAGTGGAAGCTAACTTGGGGACACTGATAAATTTTCATGTCTGCTGTGTGAGTGGATAGGTGATGAAGTCCTGCATTAGGGAAAAATTAACTAAAGAAGACTTTTTTTATATGTATCTTTGTATCCCAGTCCGTTAGTTTGACACTTTCAAGTTAATATCTAACCTTTTTGAAGAAATATAAACCTATTGGAAGAATAAGGGGATAACTATAACTTTTTACTATGAATGACCACGAGGAAAGAAATAGTCTTGTCACCTAACTCAATTGAGATTAGAATTAAATCCGCTCTTCTGCTTGGTGAATTCTTACACTTCGAATATGGCCTCATTGACGACAAAAGAGAGAAGATAAAGAAAGAGGATACATAAAATTGAATACACGCATATGCACACAAGTTTATATGCTTGCATTTGTAATTGATTTTAAATTGCCAGGTCCAATTGGAAACCTCCTGTGGGAAAGGGAAATAGAAAAGAGAGCAGAAAACGTGCCTACAATGATGATGACGAGTTGGACCCCATGGATCCAAGCTCTTATTCAGATGCTCCCCGTGGTGGCTGGTATGTTATAAATATTTTATTTTATGCCCATCACTGGTCTCCTCTTTTAATCTCGTCTTCTGTTCACTCTGCAGGGTTGTGGGCCTCAAAGGAGTTCAGCCCCGTGCAGCTGATACTACTGCTACGGTATGCAAGCTTTCTTTTATTTTCCTTTTGCTGAGGGAGTTACTATGCTGCTACATATAGAGGTGAAGATGTAGGCTATGTTGATTCTGGTCAATATATGTCAAAATAGCAAGGCCATGGAGGAAATTTGCCTTTCCTTGCACATGCCCTCTAATCTCTGTTTTTCAACATTGAAATTGTGCGCTGCAAAATAATTCTGCCAAATATTAGTGTCACCTAACATTGTCACAAGTGCTCTAATAGCTCCAAATATCATACATTTTGGTCTCAATTACATGCTGATATTTTTGGCCAAGAACATTAAAATTGACGCTGCCTGTGCCGCTATCCCTTTCTCTCGAAATTCTCATGTTTCATGTTTGTGTGCTCAGAGATAAAATCACATCTGCTTTTATAGCATATTTGTTCATTGTTCTCACATTTTGTTTGTTTTATGCTTCTGTGATTGTCAGGGTCCCCTATTTCAACAGCGGCCATACCCATCACCAGGAGCTGTCTTGCGAAAGAATGCCGAGGTTGCTTCACAAACCAAGAAATCTAGTTCTCAATACACAGCTATATCCAAGAGAGGAGATGGTAGTGATGGCCTTGGAGATGCTGATTGAGGTTCTAATGTAAACGGACTTGATTTTAAACTTTCTTCCAGTGCATCCATCATTAATCTTACATGTGGTGCAGCAGCACTACATGTTCTCTCTGCATGGAAGAGTTTTCTTCTGCGACCTACATTACTGGAACCAGCTGATTGATCGTTTGATACCTCCTAGCCAATTGACTTTTCTTCGACAAATATATCATGTGTGATGGTTAATTAAGCTTGTCTCCAACACGAGCATGTCGAACTGGAAGTTTATATGGGGTGCAAAGAACCCTTCTGCACAGTTGGAACAAAATGTAGAAAAAAGAGAGGGAATGTCTTCAGTTTGACCCATGCCTGAGTTATACACAAGATTAGCTGGACTAGAACTAGTTTGAGAATCAATTTCATAGATTTTGCAGCTTATTCTGATCCCTGTTGTGGTTTAGACAATGTTGCTGGTATTCTACTGCTAGTCTTGTAAATCTCTCTCAATCTCTCCCATCTTTGTATTTTTCTTATCAAATTCATTCACATGTAGGAGTAACTAAAGACTGTATTCTACTGATGGAGTTGGAGGACAGTGGACAAAAATGGACAAAAACACTCATGCTGATAAGATCATGTTTTTTCTTACTTTTCCACTACAATTATTATGGCAAAAGCACGACCAAGGTAACAAGCCAAAAACAACTCAGCCTATGCTCCGTACTAGTAAATGTTTGGACCTATTGGCTATTATAGTGTTAGTTTTTTCTTTGGTCTCGTGCTTGACTACAGTCCTATTCCAGAAGTGGTTCATCATGGTGGACCCTTAATTACTAGTTTTCCAAGAACCAACGGTCATGCGATGCTCTAGAGTCTGGACGGTGAAGATTCAGTGATAATTTCCAAGAGTTGCTCCTCTTCGAAACAAAGATTAGATGACATTCAAACGGAATTAAATAAGGCAATTGACAAATCTCCTTTTTAGTCCTAGTGATCAACACACCCAAGATAAAATATAGTCGCTTATGCTTAGTAAAAAAGCAATCAAACAATTCTCAAAAAATAAGCAACAATTACTAGTAATAAATTATAAATTAGTCTCTCTAAATTTGAGAAATGAATTAATTAGTCTTTTCTTTTTCAAAAACTAATTATTAATTCTTTTTGCTCATTTTATGTTCTTTTTTAAACACTAATCAAATGATTGAATAATTAGTTTTTAAAACTAGAGGAACTCATTTTTCAAAACTAAAAAAAAAACTAACTTATAATTTACTCCAAAAAATAGTAATATCTATCATTCAATTGGATGGTTTTTAAACTAGTACAATGGTTAGGATTTTAAACACATAACATTGATTAAAAAAAAAAGGCTATTTAGTTGTCAATTATTAAAAAAAAAAAGTGAGAGGGAAGAAAAATAGAAAATATTGGATGATCTTGTGTTATTATATAGATATCTTATACTATACTAATAACAAATAGACATGTTTGGTATCAACATTAGCAAAATCATTACCACTTGCTTCATTAATCTAGGGATGGCAATGAGTCGGATATCCGACCCATTAAGTCAATCTCATATCTTACCTGCTAAAACATACTATACATATTATTCTATTCATTATCCATTAAGAATCACTTACTTATTTTTTTACTCAGCCCATATCAATTGTATTAGACCCTCCTCATATTCTGTCTATACCCGTTTACTCTTTTTTTTTTTTCTTAAATTGAAGACTTTTTTTCAATTTTTTTACTGATTTTTTTTTTTTTGTTACAAAGTCTTTTTGTTTAGACTCTTTTTATAAAGTAAGAATTTCCTATATAATTTTTTATTTTTTTAATGAAATAAAAAGATAATAAAAATAAATAATATGAAAAGATTGATGAAAAATAAAATATTCTTAAAGTAAAATAATAATAAACTAACTATATTGAACACTTGGTTAAAAAATTAATTAATTAGTTTTTGAAACAAGATAAACTATTCAATTCATTTTTATAAAACTAGAGGGAATAATTTATAATTTATTCAAAAAATGAATATGTTATCTGAATAGATTATTTCAGAGACCAATGCAGAAGAATGAAACGGATAGAAATAAGGATAAATTATACTGCATTCTTAATAACCGGGTAATCCTCTACCCCAAATTCCCATCCCATGCATGCATTTCTGGGTTTGCACCGAGTTGACTCTTAACGGAAATCCCAAAACTTTATCACTCAAGTGGTCTCTTTATGAGAATGAGGAGAAAGTTACTCCATTGCGTAATTGCATATAACACATAAAAAAAAAACAAAAAAACAAAAAGGATCCAAGAAATTTGAAATGAAAATGATCAATTTATACCTCTAGTTTTGTAATATAATATCAATTCATTTTTTTATGTTAATGTGTAAAAAAATGAGTATTAATAAGATAAAAAAAATATTCATATTCATGAATAAATTATCCATTAACATAAATAGATAATATTATTTAACTCATTATCTATTAAGGTATTTTTAAAACATAATTAATGGTTGAGCGGGCTGAATAAGATGTCTATTTTATACCGGACCCACTAACATCCCTACTTGTACTTAAAAAACTTTGTAATATCATCCAACATTATATTACAATGAAAATAATTTTAATTGTAACTAAATATCAATCTCAAGTTAGTTCATTAAATGATATTGATTACTAAAAATATAGATCTAATTAGTGGGTTTTAAAAGAAACCAACTACTGTTAATTAGTGAAAATAATTTGGAAAATGTTGCATGATTCTTGTAGTAATTGATAGCGGTAAAATTAAAAAATCATGCATAAAATAAAAAAAGAGAGAAAGGAGAAAATAGTGATGTCAAAGGCCAATAAAATGGCAGTTAGGTGCAAATTCCAAAGGTGCAAACAACAAGACAGAACTGATAGTGACACTTTTAAACAAAATTAAATACAGTTGGCGTATTACACACCACGTGTATTTTAGGATAAACAACCCACTTCCCTTCCATTTCTCCTTCCCATTTTTTACCCCTTCGCACACTCCACTCTAGACTCTAGTCAAGTCTCTTCTCTCCCACTGTCAGATCAACAACTCCTGTTTAGGTAACTTAAAGTTTTGATCTTTAACTAATTCTTGCTTTCTTTTTATAGATATCTGTCAATTCTTGATGTTTCTTGATTGTGATCTTGAAATATTTGTTTCCTTATCTGGGTTTGGTTGTTTTGTTAGATTATGATCTCTTTTTTTTTTTTTTGGTAATGTTTTTGTGGGTTTATGGAATTGGTTATTATTTGCGATTGAGTTTAGAAAATGAAATAAAGATGGAGTCTTTAGTCTCCTGTTTGATTAAGTGATTGGGAACTTATTAAGTGGAAAGAAAATTTATGCGAGAAAGAACCCTTTTTTTCTGTCAATTCTCTTATGGTAGATAGTTTTTTATATATCTGGATCTGGGTTCATTTTTTTTTTATTATTATTATGTTTAATTTAGACATTGAATTCCTTGAATAATTAGCATTCAACAGTACAATTGTTGGTTTTTTTTTTTTTTTAATTTATTTGTGTGTGTGTGGAATTCATTGGCTTCCAATAAAAGTTTTCTCTGATAATTGATTTTAGCTTCATGAGGGTGTGATTGGATAAGCTTGAGAAATTGATAGACTTTGATGTGTTTTGCTTAGTATCATGATGGGCATCAAGAGAAAATAGGAGTCGTCACAATGGTTAATGGTGTAATGTAGTGTAGGACTTTTGCTGTGTTTTTTATTATTGTTTGATGCGGTGGCTTTCATTTTCCTTGAAGGCATTATTCACTGTGATATGTGTTTGTTGCTAATCATGTTTTGTAAGGCGCATCTATTCGTTTTCTGGGGAATGTCTAAGCAGGAGGTCATACTCTCTTTTTTTGTAGTGATGTACTATGATTTTCGTCCTCGTTCCACGTTACGGTTTGAGGAAATTGTAATTGAAAAAGCATGCTTCCTAACCTTTTTATTGTGTTCCATGGCATGGTGAGGAGCTATTTAGAAAACTGGCTAGATTTTCCAGTAAACAATCACACCATGAACAAAGTGATATAATAGGAGGGCCATGTCCATGGACATAGGGATTATTACTGTTTTTTGGGTGAGAACTTTCAGACAGTGGTTGAATATTTTGCCAGATTGCTTTGTTAATAATGAGTAGTTTATAGTTAATGTGGTGGTTTCCTCATTGTCAGGCAATATGCTGTAGATAATAGTTAAAGTTTGAGACATAATTGGGATGTAAGCTGTGTTTCGTGTTTTTGGCCCTTGCAGAGGGAAAGGGTAGAGAAGTGGAGGGGATGTCAAGCAGCAGAAATACCCACTGGTGTTATAGATGCAGGCGGCCAGTTCGGCTGCGAGGGCGAGATGCAGTTTGCCCCTACTGCAGTGGAGGATTTGTCCAAGAACTTGATGATATGAATCGCATCAGTCCATTGGATTTTTTTGGAATGGACAGTGATGATGATCGTGACCAGAGGTTTGGGCTCATGGAAGCTTTCTCGGCCTTTATGAGGCAGCGAATGGCAGATGGAAGCCATAATCATGATATCAGATCTAGATCAGATTCAATTCCTGAACATAATCCAGGTCTTGGTCCTCTGTTGATCTTCGGTGGCCAAATTCCTTTTAGGTTGTCTAGAAATGGTGGGTTTGAAGCTCTCTTTTCTGGGGCACCTGGTGTTGCCTTTTCAAGGGGTAATGCCGGTGATTATTTTATAGGCCCTGGACTTGAAGAATTGTTTGAACAGCTTTCAGCTAATGATCGACGAGGCCCTCCCCCAGCAACTCGCTCATCAATTGATGCGATGCCAACTGTTAAGATCACACAAAGGCATCTTCGCACTGATTCACATTGTCCAGTCTGCAAAGATAAATTTGAGCTGGGTTCTGAAGCAAGGCAAATGCCATGTAATCATTTATATCACACAGATTGCATTGTACCATGGCTAGTCCAGCACAACTCATGCCCAGTTTGTCGCCAGGAGCTACCACCACAAGGATCAAGTAGCGGACACAGTTATCAAAGCTCAAGCTCTCGAAGCAGAAGCAGCAATTATAGTGGTAGGGAGAATAGCAGGGAAGGAAGACGCAATCCATTTTCTTATCTGTGGCCCTTCCGCTCATCCAATTCAAGCTCTAACCATGATGAGACTCCTGGAAGCAGCTCACCAACCATGCATGAAAACAACCACCAGATGGGGTATTCAGGATGGCCTTTTAACTAGGATGTTAGTATGTTCTAAACACGGAATGTTTTCATTGTCTTAATGATCATGGTGCCTAAATTTCTAGTTGATCTAATATCTTGGAGTGAGTGGTTTGAGACCTCGAAGTTGCAAGTGTGGAGTCTGTTGTTTGAAAAGTGATTGAGGACCTTTTCGTGTCTTCGCCGCAACATTTACTGTAAATGACTTCTATCTTTCTTTGCCTTAATCACTTGTGCTTATAATAATACTCTGTTTGTATTTTTGGTTGTGCCTGATGGTGGTATCGGATCTCATGTTTTTGCACAAATGCTCTTGTTCATTGTCATCTTTTTGGTTGCCTCGGCTCGCTTGTTTCATTAACCTGGCAATGGGATCGGAAGGACCCATTTCTAAATCAGGGTGGAATCATCCACCCAAAATAAGAGAATGGAACTTTTGCATTTCAATTCTCTGTATTTTATTTTGTTTGATGAAAGAACAGACAAATATCATGGTTATACCAAGCAGCACGAGAAGCACAACTTCAAACTCTCTTTAGAGTTTTATTGTCGTGTCAAAATCCACAGATTCAGAATAAGCCAACCCCACAACGCCCAAGTTACAACCTAACAATTTTGAACCCATTAATGTTTGATATTTTTTGGAAATTAATTCTAATCGAAAGGCATTACTCACTGCAATATGAAAAGGTAGTCAGAATGTGGATTCACTTGCCCATTGAGCCTACTACCTGTTGAGTCTGCTGCTTGAAAGGCTATATTTATTCCTGTGCCTGTGAAGAATTCTGCTTCTTGATGGTAACCAGTTGTAACAGCATATAAAACGTTTACTTAAATCTTCCAAGCATAAAGAAATCCACGCAATCAATAATCAAATTATGGTGAGGACCTTTTCTTCTTTTTGGTTCTAAGCTGCAACTTTTACTGTTAATGACTATCTTTCTCCATTTAATTACTTGCGGGCTTATAAATAGTTCTTGGTAATGAAGTTACTTTGTGATGTATAATCTGCTACGGTTACTTTCGTCTAAAGGAAATTTTCCTTGCCTCACAATCTACCAGTGGCATTTTGGTTGGCCACACCAGAAGCATGTCTTGCACTTGATGCATCATATTACCAAACTATGCATTGTTATTGCAAGGAAACCATGCACCACAAATATATTAGTCTTCTTCACACAAACAGAATGCAGATTAACATGCACCATATACTCAAATCTATAAGCTCAGATCAACAATGTCAGGGGAGCTCCAGTTGGGTGTGGATTGGAAACAATCCAGCAGAATAAAAACATTCTATGGCCAGAACAACTCAGTTTGTTAATTCCATGATGGCAGTGACGATATCACCATCTGCTGCCTTGAGAGCTTTCACAGCCTTTGATCTGGAAACCCCGGCTTGCATCATCACCAACTCAATGTCCTTGGGCTCCACACCAGTCTCGTCTACATCTTCATCATCTTGAGCCAAGGACGATGACTCAGGCTGTGATACGGCTGTACTTGGATTAGGTGCCTTGAACTGCTCTGCAGCCTGGGTCTGTAGCTGTGAGCTCAAATCCTCGACCTTTGCTTCCCCAAAGACAATATATGTGTCTGAAGTGGGACTCTTGAAAACATCAGGTTTTGAGATAACGAACATGATCTGATAAACAAAAGCATAGTGCATAACGTATTTGCAAGATCTATCAGAACCTCAGGTAGAAGATGTGATTAATCAATAAACGTATTTCCAAGATCTATCAGAACCTTAGGTAGAAGATGTGATTAATCAATAAACAACAATAAGATGAGAAGTTAAGCACTGACATTCTTGCTCTTTTTGACTGTAACTCGGCTGACACCTGGGAGTGGTTTCATTCCAAGTTTCAACATTGCCTTGCGACTCTTCTTTTCACTTCTGCTCTGCTTACCCCGACCACTCACATCTCCTTTCCCTGCCAAGATTAATACCCCTGAGTCAGTAAACATATCATACCCAACGTCCAATATTAAAGAGTCATAAAGCGTGGATTGCAGATATTCTTTCTCCTTGTTTTTCTTTGGTCACCATAATATATTTCCAGCAACTTCAAAAGTTTCAAAATGTTCAAAACCATAAGATAAGAATTTGCTTACAATTCCAAAAGACGCATGATCTGCTTTATTGGATGAGTTGTTCAACAACGGAAAGCTCTTAAAAATGTCATAAAATGTTGGCAATAATACTAAAACTTGTTTCTAAGAATACCCCTATAAATCCAAAATAGTGTTATTCTTTAAAAACGAGCTGACATATAGCCCTCCACTAAAATTCACAAAAATATCTGCCATACTTCCCATTTCCCAATAAAATCATGTTCTAATGCCTCACACATGAATGCTGAATGAAATTTATTATGCCTAAGTTATGAATCTAAAGTAATCACAGAGCAAAGAATGACAAACTCTGAATCAGAATAGCTCTAAGCTCTATATATTACACTAACTTAGTGCATTGACCAACAAGTGAAAATCCAGATTCATAATCTAAATTTCTCACCTTCATCATCCTTGTCATCATTATCGTCATCCTCATCAGATTCATCCTCATCATCTTCATCCTCAACAGTAGGCTCATCATGCTGCAAAAACACAATTCCTAAAGTTCAAACACAGTCAAAGAGAAAAGAGTGTCTATCTATGAATCAGGCTAAAAGCCAGGTATCATCCACTTGGAAAACAAGTTCCAAATGCACTACTCTTGCAAAGCAAAAAAACGTAAAGGCTCGAGCAGTGACGCAGAAGAAGCTCTTAAACATTTTTTATTTACACTAACATTAAAAAGCCTAGTATGCATCCACAAAATTCCCAAAATTTCTTTCAAATCAAGCTAATTATATTGCACCAACGACTAACAAGACTGCAAAAACTCTTACTAGGTCATGCCTGCTAACATTTAAAGTTCAGATTCCAATCTTAAACAGAAGCAAGCATAAAAAACTTGAGTTTCTCAAATCATATAAAAAATTCTAGCACTGGATCATTTCCCTTTCGATTATTCTCACATAAATCACTCCTAATCTTTCACTTTCAAAGCAAGAAAGAAGACAAGTCAGTTTATTTCAAGAAACAAATCACCGAACCCTAAAACGAAACGCCAAACATAGCAAAAGAAAAGAAAACGGAAAAGAAAGAGAGAAATGGGGAGTGATGAAATTACGGTGAGTTCTTGTTGTTCAAGATGAGCAGCGAGGAGTTCTTCTTGAGACTGAGCAGTCATCTTTTCTTTCTCTTTTACTGTTGTTCGGACAAGAAAAAGTTCCAATGAACCCTAAACTAAACACCCCCACCGACTGTCGAACCCGTTTTTATGATAGTACCAAACTTTTCGGGTTTGGTCTTTTCTTTGGGTATAGGTTCTGGTTCCGGTTTTGTTAGTTTTTTACCTCTAACTTTTTATTGTGGATTTTTTTTTAGGGGAGAATTTATAGATAGATTTGGAAATTAAACACTAAGTTAACAACAATATTGTATGTAGGCATGGACATTTAATAGGTTTTTTTTTTTCAGAGATAAGAAATTTGAAAAACTAGTCATATAAAGTGGGTTTATAGATTCAAATGATACTCAAAATACAATTTTATTATATTTGATTTTTTTCCTATAAAGTATTTTTTTTGGCTTTTATTGAAATTTTTCATTTTGTTTTGGTCCCTATTTTATGATTTATTTTATTCATTAAATTTTTATTATATTTTATTTTTATTTTTACTATACTAAAACTAAATACAATTTCACTATCTTAAGCCTTTTTTTTTACTTTTAGTGAAAATTTTCAGTGTTTTAATTATTGTTTTGTGATTTTTTTTAGCCAATAAAATTTTATCATATTTGATTTTTATTTTTATTTTATGCATAACTAATTTTTTTGGCCTCATTGTTCACAAGCTTGTTTTTGGTTTTCGGTAAAACTTATTAATTATTATTATTATTATTATTTTGGCTCTTATTTTATTTTGAACTTTACTTTGTTTTGATCATTTAAGTTTTGTCTTGTGTAATTTTTATTTTTATTTTTTGCCAAATGGGTTTTGAAATATTTCAATTTCATTCAATTAACAAACTACAAATGAAGAACATATAGTACCAATTAATCATTCAAAATTCAAAAAAATTCCATATTATTATTATTTTAATTATCAGTTATTATACATATTTTAATAAAATATATGTTTATATCAAATAATATCTAAAAGCAATATTATATCACTCGACTTTATAGGTATTTATTTTAACTAATATTGCAACAATGCATAGAATATATATTTTAATCCATCTATTCTCTGAATTTATTTTTACGTAACCTTTTTAAATAATTGTTTTGAATTCTATATTTTTATATGGAAAAACACATGAGAATGCTGCCTTTTTAAATAATTGTTTTGAATTCTACATTTTTATATTTTACATGGATAAACACATGAGAATGCTTCATAGCTTCCTCCCCTGTTGCAAACTAGTAACTTATATGACAAATAACAAGTTGATTTACTGATTATCATGATGCAGACATAGCAACGAGTGGTAAAAATCAAATTTTAAAATCTCTCTCGTATTAATTTTTTATTTCATTTCGTGATTAGTAGTCTTTTATTTATCAATGTTAAAATTTAAATAAACATGGAATATTAAATGAAGTTCAGAAAATTGATGAAAAGCTTACATCTGTCATCCAAACATTTAAACTTTGATTACAGCCATGAAGGAAACAAATCGAATTAGCCACTATATTCGTTGTTTGCATAAACTTGAGTTCTGTATCCCAATTGAACTCTCGAACATTTCATTATTTCCTTCCATTTTTCAGAACTCTGGCAGAGTCTAATGAGGATCACAAAAAAGAATTCTCTCTTTATTTGACACTTCGCACTGTATCCACTCATCATCTCCTAGGGATTAAAAAAAAAAAAAAAAAAAAACCACCAAACACTTCACAAGCTTGGAGGAACTTTTAAATCATCTTTGTATGAAGTTGCAGGTTATTATGAGCAATGGTTAGAATTTTTCCAGTACGGGTACTCAAGGTTATGATGGAACACAGACGGAGAGTAAATAGGGCAGGGCATGGATCAGACGGTCAATGAAGCTAGAAAGATGACTGATAACAGGGCTGAACTAATTTTGCCTTTCACTGGCAACACGAGTAGAAGACAGGCAACTACATCGCACAATATAATATTGCAAAAAGGAAAAAAAAATATTCAAGAGTACTTCCACCAGCTAGAAGGCGAAAATCAAGAGATGCTGTTGGAGAACTATACCAGGTTCTCTATAGGCTGTAGCTCCAGCTACACTAATTCCAGTCCTTTGCCAGCTTCCAGTTGATCCGTAAAAGGAAGGAAACTTGGAACGTAGTCATGTTTGGCCTCTTCACCAACTGCTGCCTCCTGACCATCCATTGTTGGCTTGTGACTCCGAAGAACCTCTCTTGGGGGTAGTACCCCATTCAGAACTCCCATGGTCAGTGGCTCCACCACGGCCACTTCCACCAGGACCCTTGCCACTTTGTACTACACCCTTTTGAGAGCTATTACCCCACCCAGAACTCCCATTATCAGTGCCTCCTGCTCCACTTCCATGACCCGAGTCACCCCCATTGCCAGTTCCACCTCCACCAGCGTCCCAGCCCCCTTGTGTTGAACCTCTTTTCGCGCTAGTGGTAGTACCCCACCCAGAACTCCCACCATCAGTGCTGCCACCGTTTCCACGACCCCAACCAACATTATCACCACCACTAGCTCCGCCACCCCAACCACCATTATCACCACCACTGCTCACACCAGTTCCCCAGCCACCTGGGAAAGCTTCCCTACCAGGTGAGTTTTGGACTTTGGCACCTGGGAAACTGCCCCAACCTTCGCCACCATCCTTGGTACCTGAATCCCATCTGGACTTTTCATATCCAGAATCCTGCCTCTCATTGCCACCACTATTTCCTCTGCCGCTGTTATACGAGCCACGACCACGTCCTCGCCCACTATATGGTCTTGGTGCCCCACTCTGATGACCATCTCGACTACCACCACTTCTATAATCATTTCGACCTGTGAAAATGAAACATGGAAGAGCATAAGAGATCTTTACATTAAAAGAAATTAGGAAGAAAACCAAAACTTGGTGTAAGCCTGAACACAAGGCAAAAGCAAATATGGATGACAGCCTAAAATGCTCATTATATCTGAAATGGATCTGGCACCTCCCAAGTCTGCCAAAACAGCCCTGGAGACCTGTTGTACACCCAAGAAATCTTAACCATCAAACAGACAAGTGTCTTTAGCAACAAAAATGATTTAGTCAATGCAGCCAATATGGATCACTCTTTTACTCAAAATCAGGTTAACTCCACGTGATTGGGTAGTCCTGGAGAATTCAAATCCCACTAAGATCGAAATTTAATAGACACAGAAATGCAAACTTGGAAAGTGTACAAAGAATCCCATTCATTTTTCCTACTAGAATTTATATGCAGGGATCATGTAAGAAATCAAAGAAAACCTCATGCAAGCTCTATTCAACCAAAGCCTTCAGCAAAATGATATCTTAAGATGGTTTGCATCAACGCATTATATGTCCACCTTTTTTTTTTTTTAATGCTTTACCTGTCCTGGAACCTGGACCCGAAGAACGATCTCTGTCAAAAGAGTGCCCCCTCCAGCCACCTTCATTGGTTGAACCACCCCAGGAAGAGCCCCCAGTTGCAGGGCTTCGCATTGGGACCATAGCAGCAACTGACCTAATTGATGGTGCCGATTCGTGCAAGGGATCGTCTATATGCTTTTGAAAATATGCCACAAGCCGATCAATGTCCTCAAACATACGCTTTCGAAACTTGAATCCCTTGGGATATAGACCGACATACTCATGATGAGGATTTGTACTCCTTATATAAGTGAGAATGAACGTGCCTGGGTGTTCATGAGAAATGCCAAACGAATAAACTATCCTAGTAGGCTGTTGTGATTTCTCAATCCTAAGGAGCTCATCAACTTCTGCTTTAGTGCCACTTCTGAACTTGCGATAACCTAGCATTGCCTTGAGGTAGCCCACCAAGGGATCAACATAGCGGTCCATCACCTACATCCAAAAGTAAGTCAACACAAATCTAGCAATTTCACTTAATGAAGGACAAGAGAACACATGCCATTCCTTCACCAAATACTATGCAAAGATCAACCATAAAATGTTGTGTTCTTTTTTCTTTTTTTCCCCCGTTCAGGCAACAATTACCCAAACAACTACAAGAAAACCTTTAAAACGAGAAGCTGGAATAAAATAAACCAACCTCATCCAAATCCTCAAAAGTGTCCTCTCCGATTTTCAATGTCTTCCCAATACGAAGTAAACTTGTGATATCTTTGTGTTCTTTCCCCCTTCAACTATGTCTTTGTGAGCATAAACTCCATCATAAACTTTAAGAGTAAGAGTTAAATATGAGGGCCCACGAGAACTAGGACGAATAATACTTTCTCCAGGATCCTTGTCGGATAAGAACTGCAAGACAAAAATTATTAATGAAAAAATAAATTTGGATTTAACAATCAATTGAAGAAAACAGAAACGAGCCAATTTTGATGAAGAAAATAATTATTAAAAAAACATAAAATCAAAACCCAAACTACATTTTCAGAGTAAAATGCAAGTCCAAAGCAAAATATAGGTAAAATTCAATCCCAGTTTATGCGAATACCACCAATGAAGAGGATTCAAGCAAACAACATGGAGAAGAGAAATAATGCAAAACTTCTTTTCAGAATTCTAATTAAAGCAAATGAGAAAAGATAATCTTCACATTCTGATTTGATCTACCAAACATGCAATTAATAGTATACTGTTATAAAGAATCAAGAAGATACCTCCATTGCTTCATCAGCCGTTATATTCTGGAAGCGTGGATGAACAATCATCCTAGGCTTAAAATGTTTCTTTGCATGCTCCCTATCTTTTCGAACCTTATCCTGCTCACTCCTCAGACTGCTTTGGTCTTCATGATAATAGTCATCAAGGTTTCGGACTTGCTGATATCGGTTACTTCTCATCTCACTATCTTTGCAAACAAGGAATACTTGATATCTATTCTTTTGAATTGATTTGATCTTGCAAGTCAGTATATCATCTTCACGCAGCTTGTCGGACAACTCGGGTATATCCCTCCAATCATCAGCATAGTCCTCCTTCATAAGAATCCCAGTTAGACCAGATTCCAATGCACATATTGCCTTTCCACCTTGCACCCTGCGAACCGTGGCTTGTATAATTCTCCCTTCAGCAAGGGTATCCTCAGATTCACCTGAAATCATATAAAATTCCTCATCCTGAGTTGGTTCTTTATATTGTTTCCGCCAATCCTGGAAACCTTGTATTAATTCCCTTCTTATATCCATGAAAGTATCCTTCTTGTTGTCCCGCTTCTTGTCTTCAAGATACTTATCAAAAGCAAATGTTTTCAATAAATTAGGCCGCTCCTTAACGTGCTCTATTGCCATCTCTAGTGCATCATCGTCATCATTTACATCACCACTGTCCTTTTCATAAATGTCTTTTGCCAACTCCTGTGCGAGACCATAGGATTCTGGATGTATCCTCGTGTCATCCAATACGTCAATGAACTGGCTGCTGCTAGCAGCAAGGCCACTCCTCCGGACACGCAAAAATCCAACAGCATTGACAAACACCTTTTTACCAAGACCATGAACGGTCACAAAGTCCTTGCGAGTGAAAATCGCTCCAGTTCTTACCAGAGACCTCTGCAGAGATGCTGCCTTTCTGGGTCCAAGCCCAGAAATGAACTGTAAAGGAGCAAATAACCACTCATGGCTTGTGGCCAAATTAATGTCAAGGCCCACCTGGTTTGTGGCATCCACCATAACTTGTTCTATAACCACATATTTCTCATCAGGTGTGAGAAAGTTCTCCAAAGAGTTTAGTTTCCAAGATAAAATCTCCCTAGCCGGTCCACATAGGGTTGCAACCATAGCCAGAGGATTTTGAAGATAACGGCCTAAAGCAACAGCACGTTTAACAATGCCTAACAATATAAGAGAAAACAAGGTTAACTAAATGTATAATTGATGTGAAAGATTAAGAACAGCAGGAAGGCAATATATAATACCTGACTGGCCAGGCAGTTGATCAGAAGAAATCCGAGAATTTTCATAAAGACGAGGGAGAGACTCGTCCCCATACACAATGCTCAGTTCATCCATCTCATGTCCAACATCTCTGGGGTTTTCCTCCACCATTTTAAAAATGATCTGATAAAGGCAGGATAAAAATAAAAAAAGCACCAGTGGAACATACTAATGAGAATCATATGAATTACTTGCAAAATCAAGCGAAAGTTAGAGCATAGCAGAACCAGCTATGAGCTGCCATGAAGCTTTGAAAATGTCAACAATGGAAAACAATGATTTTAGAGGGATGAATAATGAACAAAAAGGGGATAAGAGATCCCTCTTCAGGAACGAAAGAAACTAAGCAAAACAGTACAACAGTTTCTCCCAGGGATGGGAGATTCATCTTCAGGAACAAAAGAAACTAAGCAAAACCAGTAAAACAGTTTCTCCCGCCTCTCTGCATATTTGCTAAACCATATGTAAAGGAATCTGTAACAAGGCCCTAGAAGGACCTAGAATTCCACTCCCATCAAACTCAGCTGAACAGGCGAAATGAGAAATGGCAAAGGCCAGCAACAGGAGAGTTTCAGCAATAAAACAAGAACAAAAATATATCCCACAGTCCTGATAGCAGGAGCTTCCTGCTGCCAAAAACATGGCAGGCCTGAATGTTAACGCATGCCAGGAGAGTAATTGTTTTCTTCAAATAAAGTAATAGCTTAAAAATTTTTCAACCACTTTTAACAAAGTGTAGCGAACTTGTTATCTTTTCTGCTAAGCCTATTTTCAAAACAGGTTGCAGGCACTCCTCCAAAACGAGCTGTGATAGATTATATTAATTCAACTACTTTATATAGTAATATAAAGATAGCATGAATAAGTTCAGTGCACCCATAACAAGTCACAGCATCTGGAAAGTGATTTATTTGCAAAAGGTACCAAACTCACGAACAAGTTAACTATTGTTTACCTCATAAATATCATCCTTCAGTCTAGTACAAGACAAGTGCACAGCTCCCAGAACAACCACATGTGGCTGGTGGTCTGTCATAAATTTCAGAACACGTTGCTGATCATTTTTCTTGCGTTGCTGATCATTAACATTCTGAGATCGCAATGTAAGGGACCCAGTGTAAAGTACATCTAAAACCTCCCCAGATGAATCTAACATCACAAAAGTAGTTGCTGGCTTTCCAGGACCCCAACAGCAAGCCATCACCCTTGGTGCAGCTTCATCATCCATGGAAACATCACTTTCTTTCCGTTGATATGGGCCCACAGAGACTTTATTCCACAAAGCCTTCCCATATTTCCAAAGCAACCAGTTTTTAGCTCTACTCGTCAACAAGGATCTAGCCTCTTTCTCCATTGAAGGTAACAAAAAACCAAAGAGTGCATCCTTCAGTATCAAACTTCTTTGCTCATTCCACAGTTGAGCATATTTACTTACACCAATACTCAGGTAGCGACCATTGCAGTCCTCGATCAATTGATCCATAACTTTTTGTGGAAGCTTAATGGTGACTTGAAGAAGTTTCTCCTCTTCAGCCTTTTGGATGAGGAGCCACTGCGCATCCTCAAACACCTTGATTGGCTTTTCCCGCAACCACTTGACACCTGCAAACTGATGAAAAGAATCTATAGCAGCATTCCCATCTGCCGTTGGACTTGTAGACACTACAGCATTTTCCATAAAAATGGAACGGACATATCTCCTGACACAGGGCTCACAACTTATCTCAACTGCAGCCTGAAAGAATACACACAAAAAGAAGAAGAAAAAAGGTTTAGAACTTGACCTCATGAGCAAGCATCATCCAGCAGAACTTTTTGTAGTTGCAAATGTGGAAAATAAGAACATTAACGCATACCATGTGCCTTGCCCCTTTAAGAACTGTTTGGGGACTTTCAAACATTGCACATGTGAAATTTGAAGCCATCTCCTCTGGTGTTTCCTTGGCATCCTGCAACTCGTCCTCCTAGAATCAAATGAAACAATAAAGTTATGTTTCTAAAAAAAAAAAAAAAAACATCAGCAATCACTAGCCTATGCAAACTCACCATCTTCAATAAAGATAACTGCATTCCCAGTTGCTCAGCACTGTACCCAAATTTGTTTGCAACTTCCCATAGGCCAGCTTTACTACAGATGCTGTATTGTGATCTCCGCATGGGCCTCTTGTACTGTCCTTCATCCACACCAACCTCACCTGGAGGAAAATGCAGGTTAAATTTTGCATCAACATCATCAACCTCTCTTTCCGAGTCTGCACTCTTGAGTGATTTAAGAATTGACTCAAACAGCTGCTGATTTAAATTGAGTCTCGTTTCATCGTATATCCGTCGAGATTCTTCTTCAAATCGCTTATTGTAGTATGAATTGAGGGCACTCTTTCGTTTCTGCAAAAGTAGCCACTTCCTGTCCAAGTCTTGGATGGCCCAAAGCACCTAAAAGGAACCATGTGCACGTTTAGAACTTAAATTTTTTATCATGAATCTTGATCTATGAGCTTCACTCTGAGACAAATAAAGGTGACAGTCCCACGATAAATTATTACCTTGTGCCACTTGAATGTGGGAATTCTATCAGTGTCATCAGGATTTTCATCATCTTCATGTTGCTCAGGATCTTTCAACAGGCTTAAACACTCCTCCTTTCGATACATAGCAATGAAGGGGATCTAAAATCCAGAATGTAACACGAATAGACAAAGGTGAAAATTGGATCAAAAAACAGAAGTTCAATTATAAAAATAAAAATAAAATATATATATACACTAACATCTAGCTTCTGAATGTGATGTAATTCCAAAAATCGGGTGACATCATCTTTGTTTATAAACAGTCCACTGTTGGCAAACAAAGGTAATGATCCACTTGCAATCTGACCATATATCCAGTTGCTCTCCTCCAGTATGCTGAAATCATCCAATGGAGGAGGACCAGTGCTTTCCTCGGATACCTATAAAGAAAAAAGGAGCAAAGAATAGATGCCAACGTGAAGACAACTGAGAGAAATCCAAACAGTAATGTATTCTCAAAAACAGACATGTAACAAAACCTGCATTCTTTCAGGAATATCAATCATCCGAATCCGATCATCTTTCTCAGTCATGTATTTTTCAGAAAGAACAGTTGGCTCAAATTCATCTTCCAATCTCCTTTCTTTCCATTCACTAGATTCCAACCCTTGCTTGCGTATCTGTATGAGTTCATCAACGTCGCCAAATATTTCTTGAGCTTCTTGCAAAGCAGAAGATGAAACTCCAGATGCCTGCCGAGATTTCTTTTTCTTTAGCTTCTTCCGTCTACACAATGAGCAAAATAACTAAAAGGCACTTATAAAGTAACATAAAGCACACACTGCACGGGTAATGGAACCATACCTTACTAGAGTTCCATCTTCGTCATCTTCATCCACAATAAAATCAGCCATCTCATCCTCATCGCCAATGTCTGCATCCTCTTCCACTTCTTCTTGCTCCTCCTCTTCAGGCATATCCTCAAGAGGAATCCCTATGGTATCCCAAGACATGATTACTATGCCAAGCATTCGATATACAAAATACCAATAAATAGAAAAATAAAGTGTGAGGTGCACTACCTTCATCATCACCAAATAAGCTGCGCTTCAGTTTCTCCTCAGCGGTTCGCCCACCTTTACCAGTTCCATCAAACTCATCATCAGAAAGCCCATATCGGTCCTCATCTGAATCCCTCTGAGCTTTCTTCAAACGCTTAAATTTTTTGCTATCCTGACACAATTTTGAAGCAAAGCCCTCATAATTATAAGGCAAAATATTTACCGATACAAACAGTACAAGAATTAAGCTTGCAATATTATTGATGCCAATGATGACAAAGCTCAAAACCTTTGGCCGATGATGGTACACATTGTTGTCTCGCAGGAGCTCGTAATCATCTTCATCGAGGACATCTTCAGCTTCTCTAAGGACATTGAAACAAGCACCATGAACGCCCCATTTTTTAAAATCACAATTCCATAAAACAACCCACAAACCTTTTCCCCATCACTCAGTCACAAGTTTTCCTTCATCATATCAAAAGAACAAGAAATCATCATATAAAAAAACTACAAAAAAACGCACCTTTTCTTCTTTTTTTCTTCTTCTTGTGCCTCTCTTCACCACTATCTGCCTTATCCTCTTCTTCTTCCACCTCATCTTCTTCCTCAACATCATCCACTATAAAATCATCCTTCTCATATTCATCCTGCCCTTCTTCTGCACAAAAACCACAAAACTAAATCACATATTGCTTACCCCAGGTCAGCACTTCCATTTCAATAAAAACACAAAACCACTTTTTTCCCAAAAAAAAATTATTTCCCTCGAAATAAACATTCTAATCAGCTCATGCAAAGAAACCCTAGAAACCAAAAAAAAATAAAACCAATTACCCCAAAGTTTAACAAAAACCCACTCAAATTAAACCCTAAAAAACTCAACAAAAAAAAACACCAAAACCAAAGCTTCAAGCTAATGCAAACCATCGTCCTCATCTTCATCATCGTCATCACGGCCAATTCTATCTCCATCAACAGGCTCTCTCTCTTCGTCTTCGAACTCCACCTCATCTACAAAAACCAAAAAAAAAAAAAAAAAACCAAACAACAAACAGAAAATGCGTTCATAAGCTACAAAACTGCGACCGTTTATAGGGTTTTTAGAGTAGAAATAGCGATTTTTCTCACCTTCTTCGTCAGAAACCACGTTTTTTCCCATACTGATTGATTAATCAAAGAGAAATCGAAAATTAGGGCAACAGAGAACCAAAGAAAACACAAGGAGAAAGAAAATGGAGGGACTTGAGTGTGAGAGTGTTTGCTGTTAGGATTTTTATTATTATTATTATTTCCCCACGATAGTGAAGAAGGAAGAGAGAAATTAGAAATGGGAGAAGAAGCAGCGGTCTGTTGCTTGGATTTTATAGTCAACTGGTTGGGCTCTCTTTGTGGGTTAATTTTTTTATTTGTATATTTTGGGTGTTTTCGCCGACATGGTGAGTTGGGCTCAAGTCTTTATATATATATATATATATATATATATAACGAGCCTAGCTTGTCTTAGGAGATTTGGGCTCAGAAAGAAGCTTGAGAAGCCACCGTCCTAGCCCAATACAAATAATTCAATGATTTTCCTTGGACCTCGAGGCAAGATACCCACAAAACGAAAAATCATGACCTAAAGGGGACATGACTAATAGAACTGGCTGCATCGTATAAAAGTTGTTTTTTAAAAAAAAAAAAAAAACCACGCATGTTTGTGTAGCGTAAAAAACTAGTTTTTTTATCTCCGCTATATTATGAATTAGATAAAATATATAAAATTATTTAAAAAAATTATTTCAATTTCATAATATATCTTATGATGTAAATCTATAAAAATATATGAAATCAAAGGTGAAAAAAATTATTTATAATTTTTTAATAAAAAATTTTGTATTTAATTATTTCTTATTTGTGTTTTTCATAATTTGTTCTTTAGAAAAAGTATGTATCCTTCTCAATCTATAAATTATTAACTAAAATTAAATTAAATAAAATTTTTTAAAAAAAAGTATTAGTATTTCATAAAATTGTGTCGAAAAACTTAAATAATAATTATTAAAAGCTTACATAGAATTGAATAAATTATTTTTTATTTAATTTTGATGAAAATATCGATTTTTGAAAAAATATAAATTTAATTTTTATATATATTATTTACAAAAGAATGAATAATATTAAAATAAAAAACTATATTAATTTAAATCATTCATTGGTTAAGCCAAAACATAATTTTAATTATTTAACTTAAAATAAGTTAATTTTTAAATATTCAAAAATAAATAAATAAATAGTAAATGCTTAGTGTAGTAGTGATTGCATAATTAGTTTTTTTTTTTAAAAAAAAACATTCAATATTTTTTTATATAGCATAACTACATTAAGTGAGTTCGAGTTTTCGAGTTTAAAACACAAAATACTATAAGAAAATATATTAACTTGCAACGAATTTATTGACTAAATTAAAAGTTAATAAACTAAAATAAAAATAATTACAAATTTGATTTCAATTAATTTTGATTATATTAAGAAGAAAACAATTTATAAAATATGTGAATTCTTTTTCCCTTTTTTTCTCCTCCTTAAATTTTTTTTTTTAATTTCTATGCTATGCATAGCTAGTCCTTGAATACAAGCCTCATACGTAAAGCAATCATCTTCTTTTTGTTTTTAACATCCGACTTTCAACTATTAATTAATTAATTTGAGTTTTTTCTGAAAAAAATCGAGAAAAAATTATTTAAGATACGGTTTTAATCTAAAAATGTATTTTAGACAAAATATATATGTTAATCATGTCATTATAATTTAAAGGTTATGTAAATCTATTTTTCAAAAGAAAAAATAATCATGTTCAAAAAATTTATTCTAAAATCCATACATATAGAAACATAAATCAAAACTATCGGTAAATATAATTTTAAATTAATTGGATGAGAATTTAAAAAAAAATGATAAATTAAAGCAGTAAATTTTAAATAATAAAAATAATTAACAAAAAACGAGTAAAAACAAATGGACTAAATCACAATATAATGAAAGTTTAAAATTGAAAAAAAAATTAAAATGACAAATTAATGAAGTAAATTTTAAATAATATAAAAAAATTGAGAAAAAATTATTTGAAATACACTTTTAATCTAGAAATATATTTTAGACAACTTATATATATTAATCATGCCGCTATAATTTAAAAATTATCTAAATTTATTTTTCAAAAGAAAAAATAATCATATTCTAAAAATTTATTCCAAAATTCATACATATAGAAAAAAATAAATCAAAATTGTTAGTAAATCTAATTTTAAATTAATGGATGAGAATTTTAAAAAAATTACAAATTAAAGTAGTAAATTTTAAATAGCAAAAATAATTAACAAAAAATATTAAAATAAAATGGGACCAAATCATAACATAATTAAACATCAAAATTGAAAAAAAAAACAGAGAATTTAAAAAAATGACAAATTAAAACATTAAATTTTAAATAATAAAAATAATTAACAAATTAAAGTTGAAATTGAAAAAGAAAAGAATTTAAAAAAATGACAAATTAAAGCGAGTAAATTTTAAATAATAAAAATAATTAACAAAAAACATTAAAACAAAATGGGATTAAATTACAATACAATTAAAATTTGAAATTAAAAAAAAAAATAGAAAAATTGAGGACCGAGTGTTACAAAAATTACGAAATAATAAAAAGAATAATAATTTATAAATTTGTGAACGAGTCTTTCAAATAGTGAATAAACGAGTAAATAATGGTTTATTTTAGTTTTATTAATAATTATAGTATTTCTATAGTATTAATATTGGACTTGTGTGTGTGTGTGTGTGTGTGTGTGTGTGTAACATAAAATATCATTTTGCAAAACTACGGTGATTTGATGATACTAAAATCTTCTATAAAATACTACATGCATCTAACTCCCTCACATAGGAAGCCTAATTTGAAATTTATTAACTTAGTATACATACAACGACTCTAAAACCATTGGTAAAAACAAGGAACATGAGAAGTTTTTTTTTTTTTTAAGTACAAAACATATCGTATCATAAAATCATGATGATTTTAGAAGACATAAAATATCATATAAATCACTCACATCCAGTTTTGTTAATTTTATTTACATGAAACATTGAAAAGTTTAACTTAGATGAAGTGCGAGATATATAAATAATTATTTATTTTTTGTGTATAAAAGAACAATACATCAAACAACTAATAATTTTTTGTTTATCGTATAACTAACTAAAGCAATGGACACTTTTTTTATCACATAAATTGTTAAAAAGCTAAAATGTTTATTGAAAAAGCCTAAAATGTTAGAAAATATAAGGAAATGAGAATTGAGGGATGCATGGTGGAATCTCGCATCGATAGTATATCATATTGCTCTCGTATGAGAGGAAGCCTTTTGGGTTGGACTTAAATTATAATTTTTACTTGGACATTATTTATAGTAGTATAGAATAATTTTAGAGATTTGCATAATTAATGCATTGCATTTATGTACTTAAAATTGACTTTTAAAGAAATTCGTTTTCGGAGAAACTTACTTTTACATTATTATAAACTTCAAAATTACATCTAACACGAAATAGGTAGCGAGCGTACTAATATCTAATGCTTTTAGTAAATGGATGTACAAATACACTAGCAACCTACACCATCGAAAAAATCATTACATGGAATTTTAGCAATTACTAAAGATTAAACCATCTAAACATTGATGAGGCCGTCAACGCATACTAATCGAGCAAAAACAATGCATCTCATACCACAATCATAAGTAAAACTTCATTTTCATATTTATTAGATTTGTTTATCTTATCATCAATTATTCAGAGTTTTAATCATATCTAAATATTAAAACATCGTAAATCCGAGTATAATAATATTTGTAATTGTAGGAATAAAGTATTTTTAAATTAGCTTTCATATATGAAGATTCAATTTATAAGATGTTAGATAGTTATAAATTTACTGGGTAAAATTTTATCTCTTTGATGATCTCATGGCTAATCTTTGGATTCAAACTCCTCAAGTCACCGATCAAGGGATTGTTGGGTTTCCCTCCTAGTTAGAGGATGGCTCAAAGGTTTGCATACATAAACCCAAATATTGAAGCCCAAGTGGAGGAGGAATTTTTAATTAATTAAAATGTAATTTTGGTATTTTCAAATAAACCCTCTCTTTTCTTTTTATTCTGAAATCAAATTAGGGAAGAAGGTGGAGAGAAAAAGAAAAGAAAAGGAGAGTGAGCCACAACTTTAGAGAGAAAGAGGGAAGAAAGTTTTAGCACAAACTAGTCACATTAAAATTGAGTTTTTGAGTTTGTCAACCATTGGATCAAGCTCAAATTTGGTGATCACGTGCAGGAGAGGTAGACACATATTTTGAATGGTGGAGATCTAGTTTTGAGTATTGGAGAGTGAAATATAATTCTCATAATAGTGCTATTTTTTGGTGAAATCGAATTTGGTTTCTTCTTTTTTTTTTTTTTTTGTATCTTCTATTGATGTGGTTTTGCCAAGGGTATAGCCTTTGATGTTTATGGATGATGTATTTCTCAAGTTTCATCTAGAGAGGACTCTTTGTATTGCTCATTATTGTTGATAGTGGAAGTTATTTTGGACTCCGATCCCATGGTTTTTTCCTTTCTCAAATTGAGAAGATTTTTCACGTAAAATTTATGTGTTCCGTGTGTGATTGGTATTTTATTTTTCAGATTATTAGTTAGTTATTTTGGTTTAGGTATTTGGTTGTAACATGTGTTTGATTGTTCAAGCAAGGATAAAGAGGTTCTGCTTGTGTTATTTGTGTTTTTTTGCCCAACAAATGGTATCAAAGCTTGGTTGCTTGTTTTCAACTTGAACAATATGAGAGTAACATTAAAATGATAAGTCCAAATAGAACTAATTATTATATCCGAAATAGAAAAATGAAAGATTTGTTATATGTAAAGAGTTGGCATCTACATGTATTTACTTCGGATAAACCTAAGACAAAACGAGATGAGGATTGAAAATTTGAGAATGAACAAGTTTGTGCTTTTATTCGTCAATACATTGATGATAATGTTTCTAATCATGTTGCAAAAGAGGTGAATGCTAAAACTTTATGAAAAAGTTAGGAAGATCTCTTTACTAAAGAAACGAAAAATAACAAGA